TCACTTAACGAAAATTAAGATGGCATATGGGCCCATATTAAGAGAAATTATTTTGATGTTATTGTTCTAACTGATTCGTGGTATAAGCTACATTTTGGTACCGTTAAAACGTATGGGACAAATTTCAGTGTTAATATGTGCGAGGAAATTGTGTGACGATCAAAAACATGCAAGAATTATATGTAATTGGTCATATGATTTTCAAATTAAATAAAGATCATAGACATTCTCAAACTAGTGAATTTCTTTTATGCCAGGAATTGCAGAAATATCTTGACGAAGCTCCACATGGAGTGATCTACTTCAGCATGGGCTCAAACCTGCAAAGCTCGGAACTGCCTGAATCAATAAGAAAAGCTTTCCTTGAAGCGTTCTCCAAGTTTAAGCAACGGGTATTATGGAAATGGGAGACGGACTCGTTGCCAGGGCAACCAAAAAACGTAAGGCTCGGGAAGTGGCTGCCTCAATCCGACATTCTTGGTGAGCGCTCGTATATTGGCAAATTCTGTACGTAAAAAAAGTAAATTGTCCCACTAACGCCATGTAGGCGCATTGGGGGAGTGGAGGTATAGCTCCTACTCTGTACGTAGATAAGCAAATTTGTGAAGATAATGTAAATTCCATCAGATGTGATTAAGTAACTTCTGATTCCATTATGATATAAGTAACTCTGAAGATTATTTACTTTATTGTAGTATAAAAGTTTTCTTGTTATTAACGCAAAATACCACTTCAATATGGTCTGTTTACGTCAGAGAAACTAACAAAATTGTTTGGTAATAAGCGATGGACCCAAATATGCTGTTTGGATAGCCAGTCTTCTGGAGAAGAAAGAGTTGCATGCAATTTGTGTGCAGTATTATAACCAGATAGACAATACTCATATGCTCAGGTAGACACGTTAGAATCAGAGTATGCAAATTCCCGTTGGAATTGATAGGAGCGTGTGTTTAATGCAGCTCATCCCAACGTCCGACTCTTCATCACTCATGGCGGACTGCTGAGCATGCAGGAAGCCATCTACAGGGGAGTTCCTCTGCTTGGGGTTCCGATATTCGGCGATCAGGGTCTGAATATGGGCAGGGCCGTGTCAGCAGGATACGGGCTCAAGATTGACTTCGTAAACGTCACTACAGAGTCCTTGACGTGGGCTATCAGAGAAATCATCGAAACTCCAACGTACGTTCTGACGTTTCTTCCCTTATTACTTTCTTTTCTTCTTCTCCTTCTTCTTCTTCTTCTTCTCCCTTACCAGTGGTGAACCCAGCGACTATAGGTGAAATTTTCTGATTGTATCAATTTCCTTGTGTGCGATTGTTCGACGATTCTAGCACGTCAGCATTTTTCTGAGATCTATTGAATGCATTCCTGATATTCTTTTCAGGTATTTCTGGAATTCTTTACTTTCATTTTTCTTGGCCTCATAAAGCACTGGCTGTTCCACTTTCGCAGAATTTCTCTACTTGCATTTTGGTATTTTAATTTCTTTTCGGTCTTTTTCTATATTAAATTCCTACCCGATTGTACTGTTACATCCGTAGTGAAGCAGATACCATCTTTCTTTGTATTATCTTGTGTCTTTCCTGTGTACCAGAATTTCTCCGTTCGCTTGTAATTCTTTATTCCACATTACGTTTATAACTTCCTGTTTACAAACTCGCTTAAGTATGTCTCTTGTTTCAGTCCAAATTTCTTGAATACTGAGTAATGCAGATTTTTACGGACTTCTACGTATCTTAATATCTTTGTCAGAATTGGCATCCTGACACAAAGTGGTGAATAGTTTCTTCATATCGGAAACATTTATTTTACATTGTTTCTTTTTTAATACCTCCAGACTTAATCCATAGGTAGGACTTCCTTATTCACCTGGTTCTTGTCTAAGCTACTTGGAGGTTGTCCATGCACTCACGTTCTGAGCTGTTAAGTTTCTTAATTGTCTTCTTTAACTTTAACAAGATTGAAGTCGATGATTGCAGTCTTCTGGGTTGTTGCGCTGTGTAGTCTGCAGCTGTTATGTTTGTTATTAGTCTTCTTTCACTTTAACAAGATTGAAGTCGATGATTTCTGTCTTCTGGGTTGTTGCGCCGTGTAGTCTGATAGACGTTTACCGGCTTTTCAGAGGTCATACTGCCTTCAACATCAGTGCTTAAGGAAGTATTTACATTATTTTTGTTATGAGAAACGTTCCATAAATGCAAGGAAAACATGTTAAGTTGGTCGGAGATTCATAAACAAACAAGAATTAAGAAATAACAAGGCGCTGAAGCAATGTGTGATTCATTTTATGAGACGTGCACATATAAAATGTTTCACACTTCAGCTAGGTGTCTGTCGCACAAAGTAAGCGGATCGTCTACGCTTTATTCTTTGTTAAACATTCAAATATTTCTGTTTGGGCACTTTGGCCGGCCTGCCATTTATATTCAATTTCAAGGTGTGTTCTTAACGCGAATTTCCAAACTTTGGGTAATATGAAAAATTCAGCCATCCATTTTAAAATACAAGAAGTAATACAGTTTTAACTATTATGTATGTTTTCAAGCACAGAGCGTCCTACTTTCATTATTTAATTTTTTAACCATCACAGGTACCGTGAAAACGCCCAGCGTCTGTCCAGAATCTACCGGGACCAGCCACTCACTCCACTGGATCAGGCCGTGTTCTGGACGGAATACGTGATCAGGCACAAGGGAGCGCCTCACATGCGCTCAGCTTCACTCGACCTCGCCTGGTACCAGTACTTCCTCATCGCTGTTTTAACATTGGCTGCAGTATCATCTGTAATTGGAGTGTTCCTGATTCTGAGGTCAATCGTGAGAAAGATTTGTAGTGGTAGGCGCCAGGACACGGATGACTTGTTAAGACAGAAGAAAAGGAGTTAAATTTAACCTTAGATCCTGTATGCCTGTATGCATTCTCCATGTGCTGACACTCCTTTTAAAGTTTTTGCTTCAATCTCTCTTCAGCAATGAATGAAATTATGTCACGGTAATTGTGCAGTTATATTTGATAATTTTAGTCCTTTAAGAATTTGAACATAAACTCTTCACCTGTAAGAATTTGAACATAAGCTCTTCATTACTTTTAAGTGATTCCGCTTCATACTTCAGAACACTTAACATATATAAATTCGTACTTCTATGTACACTTTTCAGACTTACTGTACTTTCCGTATGCTGAGTGCCTGTCTGCACTCACTTGCCCATGGGGTGCATTAAGTCCAGAATTGTAAAAGCTATAATTGTTAATGACCCGAAATATTTTGACAGATGGAGAAAGTGGGAACGGTTAGTCTAATTCCCGTAGGTCATAAATTCGCCTGACAACGTTACGTAAATTTAGCTCTATCGTCGTGTAATCCTATTCCTCAGTTTGAGTGTCCCAAAACGACTTACATGCATTGAAGTGTGAAATATTAACTTCGTTATCGACTTCCGTGTGTTTTGTTTACGAGGAGAACCTAACGTGGTCTACCTTTTCGCCGTATTCTTTCCCACGATTCAGATACGGAAAATTGAGTTTCGAGGAACGCGAATTGATTTTGAAGTGGCCCTCGAAATTCGAGAATGTGCTTGAAGTGAAAGTGATTTGGAAACCACGCCTCCAAC